TGAATTTTTCAATAAATTCTTTTGTCAAAACCACTTGCAATCTGATTCATAGCTGAGCGCCTTGCCGCCGGTTACATATAGAGTGGTTTTCATAAACTCGTGAAATGCACTTCAGCATATTTAGTACTATTACGCTCTAATTCTTTCGTTTTCTATTATGTTTGTCTGACTATTACACTCTAATTTGTACACTTTGTTTCATGGGTTTATGAAAACCACTCTAAATCGCTTGAAGACGCGCCCTTTACCCCCTCAGACTATCAGTGCTGCTATCAGTGCACTATTAAAGCTAAAGCTACAAAGAACAGAGAGAAGCTGAAACAGACGTGCAGAACCGTGGAACTCTAGCTTCAAAGCCGCGCACTAGCCAACTCAGCTAAGCCTGCTCCTCAAGAGAGTGAAACTTAATTTTACGTGCGCAGGCAAATATTGTGCACGAAGCAGCCCACGAAAACATAGCAGTCAAAGAAGGGGCAAGCATCTTGACTATAGAAACCTGCTGTAAGTGGTCTACACTTAATTGAACATAGAACAAAGGAGTTCAGACCGAAAGAAATTCTGATTTCTCATTTGCGCTACGCAGTCGATATAAAATGCCAAAAGCGTATTCAGAGACTTGAGAGGCATTTGGTTTGAACATTGTTCATCACAGCATGCCGTTTCATTAACGTACTTCCCATGTACCATTTCGGTCTCAGCTTCTAAGTTTTATGTTTTGGACCCCGTAATGATTTTGGAATTGAGTGCCATATGTAGCTAGGGAATCTGAATATACTAGGGAATATATACTGGCTTTACTTGGCGATATCTACTTACTGGGACAGGGTTTGACTGGTCGTCAAGTAATGCATAATCTCCATGGAAAAATGTTTGTCTGATGACTACTTCAACCCCTAGACGAGCAGCTAATCCTAGCTTATCTAACCACCTGCAACCAATAAAACATTGAAACCTTGATCAGAATACACCCATACTTGATACTCATATCACAATCACAAAACTGACTTCGCAAACTAATTTAAGGTGCGTTCTATACTATAAGTAATGAGGTTAAGAAGAAAGACTAAGGTCGTGTTTATCTGCCGAACCCATTCATGGGAATACGAATTTAGCCCACTTGCAGAAAAACTTACAGATAATACATTTATCGTGTCATTAGTTTAGATGTAATCATGCAGGGATTGGTTGAATGTTCTTGGCCAATCTGTGGCGAGATAGAGAATAGCGACCTTATAAGATTTTCAAATCTGCAAAGGCGACATCAACCGGAAGTGTAAGTAAATTCATTTTAGGGTTTCGTGCCCTCAAAGTCTGCCTTCCCTGTGGATGAGTTGACTTTACTGACAATGTTTTGAATGAAATCTCCAATAAACAGAACCCTAAATAATAATTACTTACACTTCCAGTTGACGTCGCCGTCGTATATTTTATTATGTAAGTACTGAGATTTACATGTTCGCAAGCTATTTGATAAAAATCATATCACAAAAACGAGAAGCGATCCTATTGGCTATACGTTTTTCTTCACTAGTGAAGAACATCGTATCAGCACTGTGATTGGCTATACGATATTTTTCACTAGTGAAAAAAATTGTATCGAGTTTACCCGCGCTTCTTGCAGAAAGTGTCAGCTTGCGTTTGAGTGTTTGTTATCAAAAGTTCTTAAGCATGGAAGGTCGTTGCTCAAGATTTGCTCAAATCGACTCAATCACTGAGTTTATCGAGAGCCAGGAAAACGAAAACACTAGAAAAAAGACACAGAACGATGTGGCACTCCTAAGGGAATTTTTACAAACAAAAAGAGAGACGAGGGCTATAGAACAGATTCCTGCGAAAGAACTCAACGAATACCTCAGCGAATTCGTCCTCGGTGTCCGTAAGAAAAAACCAGCCAACGAAAACTACGAACCAAGCTCTCTACGGACTTTTATAGCTAGTTTTGAACGATATCTAAAGAAGAAAAATTATGGGGTGAGCATCATCAAAGACGCTGACTTTGAACAGGCACGAAAAGCTTTGCAATCAAAGCAACGAGAACTCAAACAGAAAGGAAAAGGAAGTATTATATTTTTCGTGTATTAGTCATTAGGTTATTTTTTGATTGGTTTTCACTTTAATATTGAACAAGTACACAAATCTGATCTAAGTATACTTATATTTACAAGTTTATCACACTATTAGAAAGAGACATTTCTATTTCAGTTAACCAATTGTTCGAGTTTCAATAAAAATTTTTCTCAACTCCAAGTTCAAAAAATCTTTACTTGTAATATCTCAGTACTTATAAAATAAATAAATAACATCATGGTTAGTTCGCTTGTACGGTTTTTATTCACTCGTTGTGAAGAATCAAACTCACTCGCTCGAAGACTCGCTCGTTCGTTTGATTCTTCACAACTCGTGAATAAAAACCGTACGCGCTCACTAACCAGGAAGTAATCTCTATTTACATAACGTAAGGTCGCTAATTAAATGTATAACAAAGAAAATATTTTTAACATACGATAATGTTGCAATGTATCGGCTAGATAATCCTGCCGCTCCTCCACCCCAAGCAGTAGCTGTTTCGCCAATCCAATGCCGTTTATTGGGTGCAGCCTCCGACACTACACTATTAACAAGTTTTAATTGCTTCAGGAGGTAATCAAAGATTTCTGGATCATAAAAATCTTCAACTTTGCATGTCTTTGAATCAAAATAGTATCTGTAACAAAAAGCGAGAACATAAATATTCTAACTGGGATATTAGTATTATTACTATAAGTAAAATTTAACAAAATTAATACACATCAGTTTTTTGTGTCTGTCTTCTTATTGACGATGAATTGCGTCATCACATGGTCAAAGTAGTGAGAGTCCACGAGGCGTAGCCGAGATCCGCATACTACTTTGACAATGTGATGACGAAATTTATCGTCAATAAGAGGACAGACACATAAAAAAATGTCTATTAATTTTTTTAAATAACAAAAATGATAAAAACTTATCGCGCGCGCTCGTTGACGTCAGCTTCATCTGTCTGTCCTCTTATTGATGATAAAAAATAACCAATCAGCGTACGAGAAATTTGTAAGTTATTGTAAAAAGCGTTTTTTAACATGCGTATAATGTTTTCCCCATATTATAGACCATGTGTCATTGTCTTGGAATACGATGCTTTGTTTAATGTTTATCCATATTCATGTGTCGATCTTCTCATGTGCAACCAAAAAACAAGCAAAGAAATGATGCTCTAGAGAATATAACACTTGATCTGAGATGCTAGCACAAGTCACAGCTCACAGCTCACAAGAGATGTGTACTATTTACTGTGATTATCCACTTTTCAGGCACAACATCACTATAATGATACTTACTGGTGCCATGTTATGGCATCTACAGCATCAACAGCAACAGATAAGAATCTGGCAGGAGAAGTCATATAAATTATAGGAGAAAAAATTAGCATAGTCAATTTTAATCATTTTAATTAATAGAGTGCAAACAATATATCTGTGAAATAGTTTGTTTTTTGTTTTTGTTTTTTTTTTTAAACATTTTTTTTTTATTATTTGTCATTTTTATAAATTTAACAATACAAAACAAAAGAACACTTGTAAATCATAGCTAGGCAGAGATATAAAATGAACAATCTATTTAGATATTAATAATTATTAGAAATCGGCACATAAGAAATTAAGTTATTTTTGTCAGCATAAAAGAAAAAAAAAGAAAGAAATAGTTCTAGCTAATTAGTACAAAATAGCACCGATTAAACAATTGAAAACAAAACAAAAAAAAACAGTTGTCCAGACACAGGAGCACCACAAGTTAAAGAGAGAAATTGATGACGATGATGATGATACAACTTAACTGAGCAAAATTTACAATAATTATAATTAACTATATGTAGGATATATTATAAAATTATATTATTAATTGAAAAGAAACTCTAAAAATATTAGTCTTTTAAATTTGGGTTTAGTTTAAACTATGACCTCAGAATTGCAAAGGAGTAGGGCATGTCTTCCCCACAGCCTTATTTATAGATCAGCCCGCACTGACTTGTATCTGATATGTATATAGATTTTCATTTATTAAATTGTGGTACCTTTTTAGGAAATTCATTGATTTTTTCTTGGGCCTGGTGGTATCAGGACCAACAATAAAGTCCCCATAATGTGGGTTTTTGTCAAGAATACTCCTCAGGGTGTTGAAGGCATCTCCCAGACTTTCTGCATCAATAGACCTGTTGAACTTGCCAAGATGATTGGGTTCTGAAAAGGCGAAGGTAAAAATATTTGTATCATCATCCTCATCCTTGGCATCAATATAGCTATCCCAATCTATAGTAAGCTATTCCATTTGACATCAATATCTAATCTTAGGCCCCTCCACAGGCGTCTGTTTTGCTCTTTACTCTTTTCTCTCTTTTCCAATACTGGGCTTCCTGTGTTGGCTGAAAGTTGACAGAGATACCCATCCCTCTCAAACAGCAACAAAAAAAGCACAAAAACCAAATCAACAAAAACCCTAGAGAGTGGCCTTCGGAGGAGGCTAAGCTAATCTGTTCAAAGTGTATTTTGGTGGTGTCGGCAGCCCATACGATTGTTACCAATTTACCGATTAGCAAAATCAATATCGATTTTTATCGATTTACTGCGTCGGGATTAATATTACACTCTAATTCCTTTGTTTTCTATTGTGTTTACACTCTAATTAGTACACTTTGTTTCATGAATTTATGAAAACCTTTCTAACGTGTATCACCTTACCATTTCCCAGCTCCCAAACAAAGCTGTAATTTCTTCCACCAACATAATCCAATATTTTCAAAGGATTCGAGTAATCCCACTTTCCATCTTTAGTTCGCAGACAAACATTAAGTCCAAATAAAACATCCCAGCCAGCTTTACTACCGATAAAATGCATCTTATCCAAATCATCTCCATTGATATCGTAATCTGTAAAGTTCTTATGCTGAACTTTCTTTAAGCTTAAATTCCAGAGATTTGGAATGTCGTCGTTATCTAAGTTTTCAGTAAAGGAATCTTTTTCTTTATAATGCAACCAATCTTCAGCTGTGCCCCCAAATCGTAAATAGGCTGGTGAAAGCCCACGAGCAAGGGTGAAGACACGAGGTGAGGAGAAGTCAAAATGCTTCCAGTGTTCTTGCACGAAACCCATGTTCATTGCAACAGATAAATACTTCTCGCTGACGAGATTAACAGGTTTCATTGTGTTTACAAACACTGTCTCTTCATTTGCAGGAAAAGTTGTTTCATCCTGTAGGGCTTTGGTCGTGGTAAGGAACAGTAGAGCTATCAAAGCTTGATTAATTTTGCGGTGCATTATTTGTATTATTTAGTTCGACATCTAAGCTGCTCGACATGTACTAATAACATACGTCAAACCTCTTGAATCAAGGGTTGTCATGCTGACTCATATATGTCACGCTGTATACTTGACCCCTCAACTGCTCACTAGCGACATAAGTATAACATAAGCATATGAGCACATTAAAGGATCAAAACGTTCCGTTCTTTTTATGTTTGTGCTTATGCTCATGTAACTGAATTTCCCATATGCTTGCGCTTATGTTGCTAGTGAGGTGTAGGCTTTATTCGCACCCGCAAGGTTGAGGTGTTCCAGCAAGAATAACATGACATTTTCTTGGTTCCTGTGTATGGTTTATAAGGGAATGTATGGGAGTTATGATTAAGTCATGACAATAAAATGTTTCACTCAACAATTTCACTCAAAACTTGCTGCAGTTGTTGCTTTTACTTTGTTCAGTCTTCTGGAGAAGACTCAGCGCGATTTGAGGCCGTTTAGTGTTTTTTTTTTTAATTTTGCCCAACCCCTCCCTCTCCCCCCTCAAAAATCTAATGGTCCGTCCCTTAGTCAAAGTTGTATTGTCTGTGTTTCTATTTATTGCTAAATAGGAAGCGAATTCAAAAAAAAAAAGTTATAAATAGCAGGCTTAAAAAACTATTAATCTGGATTTTTGCTCCCCGAAGATATGCAGAAACTAGTGAAATACTTAGGCTTTATTTTTCCATTTTTTTACTTAGATTTTTTTTAACATTTTAGGGTTTTCATTTTTCGGGAAGCTATTTCACCGGCATCTTAATAGGGTTTACAAAAAAGCTATTAATCTGGAGTTCTTCTCCCCAAACATATGCAGAAACTAGTGAAATAGTTGTGTAACGATAACCCGGTGTTGCATCCGGAACTGTTTCCAGAATTTTTTTCCTTTGTTTTTCTTTACGAAGGAAACTCCGGATGCAACGCAGGCTAAGTGACGACCACTTTCGCTTCATTGTTTTTCAAAGGCTTTCTACTTATACTACTATAAGTAAAGCTTTTTTGATACAAACTGCAGCTTGAGGATGCTCGGGAGAGGTGAGACTATAACTGGTAGAAGATCTCAAGTCCATCAACAGTTAACAAGCGGTTGAAACATGTAAAATGTATCTACCCATAATCCTTGTCGGCCTCAGCTTTCTAGCTTTTCAGGTGACTAACTTTATTGAAATAAGTGTATAGCGCTTACTAAAACCTCTAGAGTGCTTTTAGTAAAAGCGTGAAACGCTAATTGCTAAAGAATACAAATTTGTACTATTTTGTTAAAAATTAGTTGAAGCGTGAAGAGCAAATGCGCACGTGCGTCGAATAAAAAAATACATGTAACACAATACGCAAGTGAAATTTCAAAGTTTTGTATTTTTTCGCGTTTCTGTAAAATCAAGACACAAGACACATTATCATTATGTACACGGCATTCAAAATCACAAAAGTAATGCTACCTAGTCGTTTTATTGATTTTTGTACAAGGGCCGTAACCAGGTGGAGCACAGGGTGCACGTGCTCAACAGTTTGACTGAATCCACTCTAATCAAACAATGGGAAACAAAGGATTCTGTATGAATTACTACTCATTAGTACTAAATATTATTCACGGGTTTATTGCGTGCACTCTACTAAATGCACTCTACACACTCTCCACAAATAGGCAAGCCGTATAGTATTTCATAGGTTTTCTTCTTTTTTACTTAGATTTTTAACAAACTTTTATTAGGGTGGATATTTTGCTAGGTTTTTCCGCATTGCGCTGTCGACAGCATAAACCAGAGACTTTAACTTTCATAATGGCATATTTTAATATATATATTTAGGCACTGTCTAAAAGCGGTGATCCCGATGCGGAAGTCACAGGGAGAACAATTTGAACGAAACTGAAAGGTGAAAATAAGATCGGGGAAAAAGTCTTCAATTATTTTTCGTTCGAGATGAAGATAATTTCTTCCATAATAAAAACCATGCAGTGAAATCGAATCAAAATGCACTACATTGTTGTTGTTGTTTTGTTTTTTTGTTTTGTTTGTTTGTTTGTTTGTTTGTTTGTTTGTTTGTTTGTTTGTTTGTTTGTTTGTTTGTTTTGCGCGAGTATACTTTCCCACTTAGGAATTTTGTACACAACTCACCACCACCCCCAGGGGCTAGTTTTCTTCTTGGAAGATTCTTCGACAAAATTTTCCAAGGCCGACAGTTTTAGGCTTTGAATCTCTTTTACTTAAGAAAAAACGAAAGACAACTWCAGATAATCTACTACAATATCAAGTTTAGTGAAATTTACCTCGGATGTCTTTCATTGAAATCGAAAAATCTGGAAATTTAGGACAAACCAAGACAAAAAAAGAACAGATTAAAATCTGGTTAAGGTGAAAAGAAAATAAGCTTACTTAATTACGTCTTTTACAGAACGAGACGAAGTTTACATTCAGTTAAACTTGACAAGAACAACTGAGACAAAATAGAAAATAATGCAAAAGGCAATGCAAAATACAAAATGATGAATTTCTTGTCAGTAAATTGGCGTTTGTAAGTGTTTTTTTCAGTAGCTTTTTAAAGTGAAAGTCTAGTAGGTCTTTATACAATAATATCTCTCAACAACAAAAATTTAAGCTCATTTTTATAATCATACTTGCTCGAACAGCTTAATAAACAGTTGAATATTTGATGTAAGTTTAAATTTCATTCAATAATTAAATAAATTATCTGTAGAAAGATATAAAATTATTGAATGAAAGTCTTCCTTGTTTTGCCGAAGGGACCACGCGATAGGAGACGAACAAAGCTGCATTTTTCTTGAACGAAAACAGGGGCGGCGGAAGTTGAAAATCTTTGGGGGAGCACTGGAAAAAATCACAACAATAACAGTACTAAAAATCGAATCTATGCATTTATATTTCATGTGAACCAATATTTTGTGGGGGGACCAGGCCCCCCAAAAAAAATTCGTGGGGGGGGGGGGGCACGTATACGACAGTTGGTTAAAAGCAACCGAATTGTTAAAGATTTACAAAGCTAAATAAAGGACGAATAATTGTTGTAATATGCTCTTCGTGTTATATTTCATCCAGCATTAAAATAAATTAAGCTTATCTATAGAAATATTAAAGTTTTTGAGAGAAGCTTTCCCTAACAAGAATCCTTTTGACTCAGTCACCATAGCTTACCAGGTAGCCTGCTGTGCAGACGTTTTTAGTGTCGACTCGTTCCTTTCCCTCCCCACAAACGTCTGCTCAAACTAGCCACACATTCCTTTCCCTTTGTTTAATCGAACCAATCAGCAACGCCAAAAAATAATGTAAACAACTGCCCACATTCAAATTTCTGTGAAAACGTATCGTCTAAAGTTCGTAAATCCTCGTATAAAATATTAATAATTTCCAAATCTATATGAATAGGACTCATAAGAAAGTTGTAGGAGCTCAATCTAACCGCTTTTTATGTTCGTGTGAGCGTGTGAGGGAGTCGTAAATGAAAAGATAAGAATATATGGCAAATCTACCGTCGACATCAAAGAACTTATCGAAAAAGTACTGGACATCGAGCTCAGTCTTTATGATTCAAACAGTAAATTATTGATTTTCCAGCTCCTGTTAGCAGATTTACGAAAACGTCTCGTTTTTCAGAGACGAAGCACCTTAAGGTTTCTTTCTGATACGAATTAGGATCGCTTATCTAAATTTCGCAGACATTTCTAAAGGCTTCATCTATATCGAAAGTAAGCCAAGGTGAAGGTCAGCTTCCAGCATTTCGGGAGGCGCGCTCTGATTGGTCAATCTATGGGAAAGGAATGCGTGGCTAGTTTGAGCAGACGTTTGTGGGGAGGGAAAAGAACGAGCCGACACTAAAAACGTCTGCACAGCAGGCTACTTTCCAGGAGGGGTTGGCTGTGTTGGTCTTGAAGTAGTGGGTGCTAGAAAAAATGAGGAAAAGCACAGTTGGTGAATAAGAATTTATTATTACTAAGGATACTAACGACTGCTGCAAGTGAGGCACCCGTGCACTCGCCTGACATCTGTTTGCAGATCTCGCAGGGTTTGATTCCCGAGCAGAATTTATTAACAATTTTTTTTAAGGGTTGTCCTTCTCTCCGGTTTTCCTCCCTCTGCAAAATCAAAAAGTCTTGAATCAAATTCTATCTTTTTAAGTTAGCTGTGATCCCCTTACATAAGAGTGAGCGTGGCTTGACGGCACTAATTGGGGCTGCATAGGAGACTAGAGAAATGTCAGTGACCTAAACCCAATCCAGTGCATCAAATGCCATACATTCAGTACAAAAATAAGGAAACCTGAAGTTTCATTTACCAGTTTCGGGGAAGGAGTAGACATTGGCTGCCATAAATCCTCCGACTCTCCTATGACAGTTTTTCGATGGCGTAATGCAGATTTTTTTAGCCGTGGTTCCAGTAGTGTAGCAGTTGCCTCCCCATTCAACAGCGAATCTTTAGCAGCTGTATTAAGTACGAGTAATTTCAAGATTGTATTGATGAACATAAAAATACATTTCAACAATTTTAATTCTTTAACCACTAATATTGCTATATTTATCGTTATTCTGAGAGAAATAATCCCGATATTGTAGTTAGATTGAATAATAATAATAATAATAATAATAATAACAATAATAATAATGATAATAATAATGTCAATAAAGTTACTAATGCCAGTGCTCATAAAGAGTGCAATCATTAAAGCTAAAGTCTCTGGTTTATATTTTCAACAATACTATAAGATTTTGACTTTGAACGAATATAATTTTCTATTTACCTTTTTTTCGTCCTTGTCCTTGTCCTTGTTCCTGTCCTTGTCCTTGTCCGTAATACGAAGTATTTCACAAGCCTAGAGTCCAATTATGGTCAAAGATCAAAGCATATTCTACTGGAACTCATAAATATATCATATAAATGATACTTGAAAGACTACTTTTTTTATGGAAAGTACAATTAATCATTAGTCAGTAAGCACACTTCGAAAGTCCAACATTTTAAGAGTAATTATAGCACCAAAATAATCAGTTTTGTTTGAGATAAGTGACTTCAAAATGAAGATGTATTCGCTGTCGAATTGGCCTTATTCGTCGTGTTGTGAGGTTTTCCCATTACAGACCACGTGTCATTCCCTAGAAAAAGTAAAAGATTCTTTGTTTGAGTTGTATCCATATTCATGTGTCTTCATGTGTCTTCTTGTGTGCAAATGACAAGTGGTCGGTAATGGGAAAACGTTGCACCAAGACTAATAAAGTGTATTGGTCGAAACCATTAACTGCGATTAAGCATTAGAGACGGTAAGTATTTTTTACTGTATACGACGACTTCCGTGAGCAAGATGAATGAGTCTTTTCCAATAACTTTTGTATTTTGAATATCTATTTTATTTGATAAATTTGACCAAGTATAAAGTTTAATGTGCTAGAAAAGCCATAATATTTTTTTAGCAGCGAAGAAGAAATATTCAGGTAATTTGTTGGTCGTTGAATAAGTTATTTAAGGGTGGAAAACGTTCGATTTTTGAGACTTGAAAGTATAGGATTTCTGTGTGGTAGAAAGGCCAATTTAGCTTTAGTAGTTACAGCTGTGAATGGTAGTCTTTTCACTGCCGGTAGATTGCAAATACTGTGAAACAATACTAAATCTATTTTGCACTAACTAGTAAAGAATAGTGCAATTGCAAAATGTTGGGTCCTTGGCTTCTGCATGTACCGCAAACCTATTGCATTCTTTGGTAGCAAACCTTTTTGGGTCTGTTGTTGTTTCTATTGAATTACGTAAACTGTGCCCGGTGAAGGAGCCCTGTTTCTTCATTGGTATTTAGTACGAAGTAGTGCTAACTAGATAGTGTGCATGCCATAAATCTGTGAAAATGTTTGTAAGAGATTGCACAAATTTACGCAAATTACTAAGTTTAGTAGACCTCAGTAGACCTTAGGCCTACTAAACTTTGCACTAATTCGTACACTTTGGTTAGTTAACTTTTCACGATTAGTTTACACTCTAGTACACTCAAAAGTGATTATTTTTTTAGATTAATGGATGATGTTAATGACTATGAAAGCTATCCTAATTTTTGCCGTTTTTGCAGCTGTGAATGGTGAGTTTCTTAGTAGTTTTATTGACTGGGTTAATCCTTTAGTCGTTCTTGCTAGAGGGGAAGTTCAGCGATTTCGTGTCGTTTACTTCTTGAACTGACGAGAAGTAACAAACCATTTTCAGGTTGTTCTGACAAAAATTTCAATTCTAAGACTTCCGGTCTCACTTCACCGTTCTTGACTTTTTAAGAAGTTGATAAAAATAACTTGACTTTAAAAGGGTCCTTATATTGGTCATTATAAATTAATTTGATTGGATTTTGATTTATATGATTTCTGCCATGTTACAATAAGGCACAGGAAAGGAATACGAAAAAATGAATAAGAAAAAAATACTATACAGAAAAACGAAAAAATTTATTGGATTTTTTAAATATTATAGATTTGTGAGATGGTGAATAGTTATTTTGTCATTTATTTAGCTTTTTAGGACACGAAAGAAAAACCACTGCGCATGCTCGATATCTGTGTGAAAATTAGTCGAAACGTCTTCATGTTATTGTAAAAATATGTAAATTCAAATATACCTGACAAATGGATTTTACACAATACCAAAACTTAAAATCAGTTCTCGAGACTTCTTTCATATTATCGTCATGAATACAGGTCTCACGAAAATATACTTGCGAAATGTTTTGTATACTCGGAGAAAATAAACATTTCTTTTCCCACTAAAATTCTCTAAATTCTTGGAAAACGTACAGAAAAATTAAAGTACGCATGCGCAAACTTTTTACTCTTGTGTCGCTTTTTAGTGCATTGAAGTGCATATTCATTTGTCTTATATTTGTGAGAGATCAATATCATTAATTATTATATCTTCATTTCTCCGATCCTAAATAATTTAGCTTGCTCAAATGACAACCCATGTCTCTATTATGGTACATGCGTGATGTCACGTAACACAAGTTCTTGTCAATGCCAACCAGGTTTTACTGGAGCTCTCTGCGAAAACAGTAAGTTAACTTAATACATAATAATTGAAACCAGAAAGACAAAACTGAAATAAGTAAAGTAGCGAAGTTTGACGTCATTACACGTTCATGTTTTAACGAGCGATAGCTCCTCTATGATACGTGTTTAAATAGACTATTGTCTATTTGTCAACTGTTATTGATTTAAAAAATTCATAAAAGGTTCATCTACTTTCCCTTGTCTCATTGCTTTGATTTACCGTTGGTCCCACTCATTTGACTCTTGTCAATGTTCTTGTCAATATGTCGATATTCTTGTCAATATATCGAAGGCTGTTTTTTTGATATTTCTAAGGCTTTTGATCGTATTGATCACACTATTGCAGTCCGTAAGCTTGTTGATCTTGCAGTTCGTCACTTGCTTCTATCTAAGATATGCAGTTTCTGGTCGCGGTGAAACTGAAACTGAAACGGTTGAAATGGCTGAAATGACCGGAATTCCGTAAATTCCTTAATGGAGAACTGTGTAATTAGCTATATTGGATTAATAGATATCTATTCAATTATTCTCAATAATCCCTTCTAATTTTATAGCTACCTATTAATCCCACATAGCTAACTGTCCTATTATTTTCTTAATTGGACAGTCCTTATGAATAAAAGAATACACGGGTCTTCACCTATATGGATTAATTAGTAGCTATATAATTAATAGGTGATAGGAGTCCATGCTTTCTTGTTAAGAAACGCCGATAAGACTTGAAAATTCCTCTGACTGCCAAATTGGGCTCTGCCTACGACGTCGTCCAATGTTGGCAGTCCTCGGAGTTTCCTTGTCTACTTATTTCTTAATTGGACAGCATGGTGACCTATTACATATAAAAATGCCTTTTTGTATAATTCCGAAAATAATGTTTCAAGTTAAGTCAAGTTTCAATCAGTTGTATAAATTTTTTATATAATTTATATCATAATATTGTACAGTTGTTTCAAAAAAGGTCCAGATTTTGTTGCATGTTGCATACCAAGCCCAAAATGCACTACGGGCTTTGTGAATCGAATCAGAGAACAAAAAAAAAAATTTCCCAAACTTTGTCTGCAGGTTCTTCTAGTATACATTTTCTTTTGTGCTGATATTATTTACATATCAATAATATTATACATTTAAAACATTGCTAAGAAACATGCAGCATGCAACAGTGATATGCAGCATGCAACATGCAACCAAAAAAATCACCAACCTTTTTATAAATAACTTCATATTGTGTCTCAAATAGAACTCGGAAATCTTGTTGTTTGCGGAACCTATACCAGACGTAGTTTTACCTCAAAAAATCGACCCCTGAGTTCATTGATGGAAACTTCTTTGAGACTAGCAACTTGTACAGGAGATACGAAGTGTTTTAATTGGAAATATAGAGGAAATGTGAAAAAACCTCAAGAATCGTACAGTGTTGACGTGTCGGAGCGGCGCTGTATCAAGGCATCATACTGCAGCCAGGCATGTACTCTTATCGCAGATAGGCAAGCAGTATCAAGAGGTATAAATATAACGTCATGCAATAGTTCCTGCTGTGATGGAGATTTCTGCAACGCCATAGAATTGTTCATCAACAGAACTTTAGGTAAACACCTTTATCTTTTATACAGTTTTCCCATTTCAGACACATACCATTATCCTGAGAGAGGATTCTTTGTTTGATTTGTATGGATATTTATGTGTCTTCTCATGCGCAACCCTTAAACAAATGTAACGTGTTCTGTTTTCATTTCCTTCTCCTTTATTTTCTTTTTCTTTTCTTTTCTTTTTTTCCTTTTCTCTCATATTTTGCAGTTGTGAGTCCATGTGAATCAAGCCCATGTCTCAACGGCGCCACATGCAAATACGCTAACCGGAACTACACTTGTGTTTGTCAAGCCAGTTTTACAGGAAGTCACTGCGAAAGTTGTAAGTCGAAAACCTACATCAGATACTAACGAATAAAGTCAAGACATTTGTCATCTTACGAAACCCGATTTTGAGGGGAGAAGTTAAGGTAGCCGGTACCCACCTTTCCACCATCTTTGGAGGTAAAATCCTGGATTTTGACCTCAAATATATACCTCGAAAACTCAAAATCAAATTGCAAGGAATAAAAGTATTAACTGTTTGCCAAAGAAGGTAGTTTTGTATAGAAATTTATTTGTTCAACACAGATGTTCCTGTTTGTCAATCTAGCCCTTGCGCGAACAATGCAACCTGCGTGGACATTAATGGAAATTACAGCTGTGTCTGTCCAGCCCTTCGCACAGGAAGAAACTGCGACATACGTAAGCTATTGTACTTTTTAGAACATTTTATCCAAGTGGATTAGTCTGATTTTCAAAAGTTTTTCGAATTTTTCGATGAAGAAAAACAGTACCACGGAGAAAATAAAATGCTCAAATTCATGAAACTGACTTTGCTCACGCGGCAGTCATGTTGACTTGAACATTTGGCCTTGATCACACAGCGTCCATATTCATTCTTATGAGAATAGAGTGTGTTGATGGCAACCATGTTGGTTGGTTAAACGAGAGAAATTTTTTCCCTTGGGAAATAAGKTTTCTTGTCATGCAAAGATATTGCATTGTTTCTGGCACCAACATGGCTGCCGTGAATATACTCTATGGAAACTTATTTTTAGCTCGTGGTGGATCTATTGTTCAAACCAACATGTCTGCTGCATAAAAAGGCGTATAGATTTCCCCATGCGTACGTGTAGCCTTGCATTTTGGTACTTGAGGGTAATTTCATGCGGGTTAAACAAAGATTTTTATTCTAATGAAAATAAACATTGCTGCCGCATGAGTACTACTAATGTTTTCATTTGTACGCGTTGATTGAGGCAAACCTCGTGACAGGGGACTGGAAAATGGCGCAACCTTAAATCAAAGAAGGAATAACTTAGAAAATCCCGACTATAAAGCTTTATTGTTGTAGCAATGAAAAAAAGTTTTAAAGTTTGTTATATGGACAATTGGTGCTGTTTATCTGAACAAAAGAAAGTGTGGAAGGGATTCTGGTAGTTCTTGATGACAAAATAATGTAAATGTCCTATTGGTGATCTTCAAACGCTTTCTGTTCTTTCCAGATATTGCTCATCCTTTATCTGTATGTCAGCCTAACCCATGTGAGATCAATGCAACCTGCATACACGACAATGGAAACTACTCATGTGTCTATTCAGTGCATGCTAAACAAAGTTGTGAAATTGGTAAGTCAGGTTGATATAAATGAACAATGTTCATAATGACATTGGATGTGGCAAAGATGGCTTGATGGTGAAACGTTCGCCTTTAATTGTGAGTCCCGCATGGGTTCGACTCTTGTCGACGCCACATACGAATACAGCAAAAACGTTGTCGGGTTGAAAAGGATACAAAATCGAAGCTAAGACCGAGGTGTATTCTGGTTAATCAATACTCATTGGAAAGTGTTTGCACATAGACACGTATGAAAGAGTGACAAACGGCTTTGTTCAGTAACTTTGTGAGGCCTCATTCACCAGTAGCGTCAGTACTATACTGGAGGCCGGCCTCAGCAATCGCTTCGGCCATGAGAGTGGTTTATGGCCAGGGTTTTTTTTACGTTCTCAGTGGTTTTATTTTACGTCCCATTTTATTGAGACGAGATCGCCATTTAACATAGTCATCCGAGCCACGAGGGATTAACAATCGCCAATGTAAAGAGCCAGTTTTGAAACCTCGATTTTAGCACGAGCCCGGGCCGGATTGAGCTCGGGACCTTCCACATCATTCAAAGCTGGGAGCGCCAACCACTGCGCCACCGAAGCGCTTTAGCTCTGTACTACCACTACATTCTATATTTACATATCTTGATTAATCCGGAGAAAAGCGGAGAAATACATACCCTCGTGGCACTTGAGATAACAACTCATCAAACGAACTCAACTCACATATGATCCAGCCAGAGCCGAGGCTCGAACCCGGACCACATCAGTGAGAAGTGAGAGGTAAAGCACCACTCCACCAATGCCATAATTTATGATTGTACGACGAATGGGACCGAATAGGCCGCGTTTTTAAAACAAAAAATGTCAAACCAGAGACAGCGAAATTGATGTATTACGATATATACATCCTGGTTGCGACATCCACATTTCTAACATTAAAACTATTTTTTTCAGGTTTAATGCACAATGCACTTCGATATATCGTGGGGGCACTATTGGTAGTTATCATAGCATTACTACTATGCATCATGCTCTTATCCCTACGTCTGCGAAAGAAAAATCGACTGAATCCTAAGGAAGATATTGAGCACCATTATGACGACACTAATCCGTCAGACATCCCAAGGAACGCCACCAGTGAAATAGCCATGTCTACAGTCACTCAAAAGACTGAAAACACTAGTCACCACACTAGTCCGTCTGACCTCCCAAGTCAGTCCACTACCAAAAAATCCACGTCTATAGTCACTCAAAAGACGGCAGACAATGCTCAACCAGATAAGTCGTTTTACATGGATTTAAAGCCAAGACAGGACAAGAACACGGTCTATCAGGCGCTCGAAGTCTACGCAAATGAAAATTTACCTATAAGAGAAACGGGGGCTAATACCCAAGGGTTGAACACGGATGAGAAGTACATGGACCTAAAACCAAGGCAAAACGTCCATTATGAGAAACTAAGTCCCAAAGAAACTACTCCAGCTGAAGGCTACGAGGATATGTCATGCTGATCGTCCTATGTAAATGCATATGGTGCATACTTTCAAGGGCGGATACAATAGTTTTTGAGTTTGGATATGAGGGGGAGGGGAGGGTGTTCAAATCTGCTAATCAAAATCCCGGTGGGGGGGGGGGGGTACTACCACCCCAACTTGGGTAGGGGTGTGCCGCCAGGACCTCAAAACCCTGACCCTATCCCAGACCTAAAATTTTGATTTTACATATCCTACCCCAGACTAAAACTAAGAATTGTACACCCTATCCCAGACTGAAAGAGGGAAAATACGGTCTTACAAGCGATTGCAATCAATATTTACTAACGTTTTTATTGTTTTTGTGCCGGCAGAAAGCGTAGCCTATTCGCCAGACAAAAATGACCAAATCGTTATCCCTATCCCAGACTAAAATGATACCCTATCCCAGACAAAATGTCAAGAAATGATACCCTACCCCAGACCCAAAAGCCGAAAAACCATACCCTATAGGGCGGCACATACCCGTATAGCTAATATAGGGGAGTACCCCCCCCCCCCCGGGATCAAAATCTGTTGGACGTTTTCACGACCGCTCCCTACTGTCTATCCCTCTAGTTAGATATTTAAAATCAATTCATACCTATGATAAAACTGAAACAATATAACCTCAGGTATGGCTGTTTATATGTGTGCTCTGAATTAGATCAGGCCAGAGGTTGTTTCAGGGCTCGATTTGTACTTTCAGTGATTTGTTCTTTGAGTTCGTCATACCCTGACTTAGATCAGCCAAGAGGTTGTTTCAGTATTTGATCTGCAAGTTAGCAGTGCCCTTACTTAGATTAGCCCAGAGGTTGTTTCAGTATCTGAACTGTGAATTTGCTGTTCCTTGACTTGAATCAGCCCATATATCGCCTTTTTCAGGCCGGTTGGATCTGGAAGTTAGCCGTGCCCTGACTTACTTTAGCCGAGAGGTTGTTTCAGCCGATTCGATCTGCGAGTTATAGCTGTGCCCTGACTGTGATCAGCCCAAAGCGGTTGTTTTAGAGCTACATCTATAAGTAAGTCGTAAAATTTTTTAAAACCTTTCCATTCTTCAGATTCAATTTTATCGCTTTTAAGATAGGCTCCGAGTTCCAATTTGTGACGAATGGCATTAATTTTTTCAAAAAAAAAAAAAAAATTTGTAGTGAACACACTTCTGCAAACTGAGGCTACTGTTAGCTGCAGAAATAAAGATATCAGCTCTAAAAACCCCATAACCTTCTCTTACTTTGCACTGGTTCAAAATATTAGCAGTAGAGTGTTCGCACTAAATTCGTTTAGCACTAAATGGTGATAGCTAAACAATAGAAAACAAAGGATTCTGTATGAGATAGTACTAATTAGTACTAATTATTGTGCACGGGTTTAGTGCGTGCACTCTAGCGTTCAGTGACTACGAATAATAGTTCCAAGCCCAGACTGCAGTTGCCGCGCATGATAAAAAGTATAATTTTGCTATGCGCTGCAACTCCAACCTCGACTTGGGACTATTATTCGTGGTCACTGAAATGAATTGTAAAAAGAAGTATTACCTAATTTCTGACATGCACTGGTTTTGAAAAATCGATATCAAACTGTAAAATTTGTGATGCCATCCCTTAAGTACTTTATTAGAGTTCTTAACAATCACAATAGTTGACTTACTTTAAGTTTGTAACTACTCGCTTGCTATTGGTCACTTATAGAGCCAACGAAGTATTACGTAATAGACTTAAGCCTAGTCAAATCGTCCCTCAAAATATTTACACTATAGTAAATAGATGACTTGTGACCTTACGAGTGTTCGTCAAAATCCTGATAGACATTGATTATTGTGGATCGTACGACTTGGAAGCAGGTATTCCAGTCAATGTAAAGAAGATTTACTGTACATTGTACAATTTCAAAAGGTAAAAGACAATTAATATACTTATAAGCGCCTGGATGGGTCACATTATCGTCTAGATTTTCCCTGTTGTCGTTGTATACATAAGCTTTTAAATTATCTTGTTGTTAACATTTTTCCTTAAAGCTTGGAACTAAATATCTTAATGTCAAAACTATGCAACGATGCACTTTGAAGTCTAAAGTTTAAGGCATTTTGCTATACCTTCACTCGAATGACTATCTATCTATGAGAAAAGGTCACATCAAAGTCATAGTATATTTTGTACGTGACAGTTTTCAGCATTTTTTAAAGTGCTTGACAAATTTATTCCAGTGACTGTAAAGTAAATGTTTCATCAATGTAATTTCTGTCTAAATCAATCAGAAATAGTTTTCTAGAGGTTTTTATAATTGATTCTTAGCTACTTGTTGCTGGGGTCTGGGGGCTCCTCAGGAAGTCCTCGGGATGTCTCGGGTTGATACTGCCTTTGTAGGTCACGCTCAGAAAGAACGTTGAAAGAATGACGTTCTTGTTCAAACAAAGATACAAGTAATCCATGGAATGAAGTTGTGGCTGTTGGCTGGCAATTTAAATTTTCATGCTGCGTCTCACAAAACTCTTAACATGGAATACATATTTCTCAAATTCCTTGGCTTTCGTTCAAACAATCAATCTTGGCGAAGGGTCATTATTTTTGACCGTAGACCGGAAACCCCGGATGGCTAGGAGCAGAATGCATTATGTCGCATCTGCTATAGATGGGCGTACGATGACTTAATTTGTTTCTATCAAGAACATGAAATTCTTGGAAATTCAAGCAATAAACAAACAAATGTCAAGATCCTATCGCAAGTGGCAAGATCCAATCGCTTTTGAAGATATCTGAGATTTTGAGGACAAATCTCTTGATGGTTTTCAAGTTAACATTGTAAAATTTGACAGTAAATGTATGTTGGTTGGCAAGATGTTTCCAACCAACATACATTTACTGCAAAATTTAGCAACTTCAATTTATTATATCTCCTGAACTAATGAAGCAACTGCTCTCAAATTGATATTTATTATCAACAGTTATGACTTCTTCATATTTCTTAAGTCCAATAGTTTATGTCTCAAAAGTCGATTTTTGGAAATGTAAACAGTACGCCCACCTATAAGAAGCGACAAGCTGAATACAAATTTCAGTCATCTTTTCCCCCCAAATTTTAAAAATAGTCTTGGATTCTATATTTTAAGATGGTTGCTTCAAATTCTATCAACATTTTCAAACATAACATCTATCAGTAATCTAAAGTTGTTTTATGTATCGAAATGTATTGACTTTAGAAAAAAAATTTTTCATGTGTAAATATTTAACATGTTCGTCATGAAAGAACAATTCTCGAGGGAATGTCATGTGATCTGGAATGGGTAGTTTGCATACGAAGCTAAAAAGTTCAATTCCTTACCGAAGATCTGAACGAAATGTATTCTGATGGTTTTTGTTTAAGTTTGCAGTTTTCATGTCCCACTTGATGATATGATTCGCTTTTTATTATTCTTTTATTCAGTAAATGGATTTGCTTGATAAGTGACTTTGTTTTAAGTTCTCCTTGACCTCGGCTCATCTCAAATTTTGACTTTTTTAAATTTAATTTTTTAGATAATTCCCTTGTTTTGCACTACGCATTTTTCTGCGCATGCAACTAAAAGCATGGAACTAACAAAGTTTAGGAATTTTTCTTTCAGAAACTGAATACGAAACATGTTCAAAACCAATTTTTACTTTTTTCTCTTATTTGAGTAGAGAAATTGCGATATTTATCTGACTCGCCCCAGTCTCCACTCGGAAAAGTGTCAGTTTTCGACTATTTTGAGATATTTTTTCAAGATAAATCAATAACAAGAATGGTGACCCCCATTTTTTATTTCAGATTTTTGATATTTGCGATGCATCTCATTATATATCAAAATATTAAGGAAAGTTTATTGGATAGATTTTGAAATATTTTGATGGGAATAGTTGACATATGAAATTTTTGGACGTTCGTAGAGGCGCACATACCTGCATTTTTCACTAATAGTTCAAGAATCATAGTCATCCAATGACTTTGATGAATTTAATAGTATAGATTGTCTAGTAAACTTCGAGTTATAAGTACGTTTTGTTAAATGAAAGTACTTGTAACTATAAATAAAGGTTCTTGATTACAGCTTCCGGTTGCTACCGCATTTCACTATAAAACCCATAAATTGACATATTTGGAGAGCATCTAGCGAAAAAACGAGAATGGTGACCCCATCTTTTTATTGCAGTTTTTAAATGTCCATAACATAATTAATGTCCATGCAAAGTTTCAGGACAAAGTTATTGGCAAAATTTGTTTAAAAGGAATTACCTTAAACATATTTATTCTCTGCATTTTCTCCAATAGCTTAAAGCTTATCTAGGGAGATTACACAGACCATTTTTGACTTTATTAGAGCTAGAAAACTTGTGGCCCTCCAGACCTATCAGGCTCGTGTTGGGTTTCCTGTGTTTTCGTTGTGATCGTTATATATGTTTTTGACTGAAATATCGAGTTCCGGCTTAAGAAAAACATAGTTACTGGAGGTGTTTTTGAAATAAATGGATGTCAAAATAATCTCAGTTGCTTTTTCACTATATGAAAAATGAGTATTATTTATTTCTACAACGCCACAGATCCCAAACACGTGATTATCTGTCCAACCAGCAGCCATGGGAAGCTTGTGGTTCTGTCGATTTAAACAGTTCTCTTACGTTGAGCCAATCCTGTTCGTCTACTCGCACTGGCTGTTTTTGATCTTCCCACTCATGAACCAGTACCTTTATTATCGCATTAGCGAGGAGGTTGGCTTTCCTTATCTTAATTTGACATCTGATGGAGGTGGTTGTAGCCAAGAACACTTTGAAGGCAATTCGACTTTGAAAGAACTGGAAATAGAGGTACTATGAAAGTGTTGTTTCTTGTTTTCTTGTGTCTGTCTGTCCGCTCTTCAGTTTGACAAGCTTTGTGTGTGTTTCTTTTAGTTTTATTCTCTGTGTTTGCGCGCTTTTGCTTCCTATCTGCCCTGTCTGTCGGTCTGTTGAACAGGAACTAGAGGCACCATATTTACTCGAATAAGCGTCCCGGCGCTTATTAAATTTTTCACGTCTAGAACGGGGCGCTTATTCGAGGGAGGCGCTTATTCGAGGGAGGCGCTTATTCGAGGGAGGCACTTATTCAATAGAAGGAAACGCGTACACAACTGTCAAAGTGTGCTTTTCTTTAAATATCAATGTTATACTACTATACAACAGTACTGGTATTACTATAACGAGAAGAAGCACTTATATTAATTTTCTATGTATTAAACGTGGTGTACATGTGTTCTGTCAGCTTTTATCCATTAAAATGTGCGCGATTTAGTCAGATTGTAGCAATATTTACAATTCCTCGAATAAGTGCCCCCTTAAGGCGGTGCGAGGCGCCCATTCGGGGTAGGCGATTATTCGAGTAAATACGGTAAAATGTGAAAGTTTTCCCCCACTTTCTGCTGGCATGCTTGACGTCTTTCCTCTTGATTTTCTTGCAACTGCACATCGGATCGCCATTACTAATCAAAGTTATACCATTCTCGTTATCAGGTCCAAACGAGATCTGCCAATCTTTTTACCTACTACATCCTTTTCTGTACTCTTCCATGCATCATCGTATCTCCGTTCATGGGATCGTACTCTGACAAAAAAGGACGCAAGGTAGCCATGATCGCATCACTGACAGGCGCGTTCCTTGAGACGACACTTCTATTAGTCTTGATACACATGAAGCTGAATGTCTACGTGACAATTGCTGGCGGAATCATTAATGGATTTTCTGGTTACTTTGCTACATTGTGGTTGGGCCTCATGTCGTATCTGGGTGATACAGTAGAAAAAGATAAATTATCCATACGCATGGGTGAGTTCATCATATATTGCCGATGTTCTTTGTTTGTTGGTCGCTATGCTTGGCCGCTATGTTTTGTCTTGTGACTTTCTTGAAAAAGCTTGTAGCTCTTCAAAATATCTGTAAATAAAGTATTCCATTATCTAGGGCTTAGAATATTTATTAGATTATTTTGAGTAGAATATTAATGTATTTCTGTCCTTCCAAAAGGCCGATTGCATGATGGCCTTGCTGGTCATTTTATTACCAGTCACCTAACTTTGACCAGTTGAGCGGTGAATTTAGTTTTATCCAATCACAGCGTGTTTAGCTGTTTTGCCGTCGGCCTTTATCCCTAGGCTACTGTAACCCAACTTTTGCTCATTTTTCTATCTTCTTTTGACTAAATTATAGTATACTTGCCAACAAGAAGCAGAAATATGAAAAGGAAGAATCAAAACAAATTCTCTTTGCCGACATGTTTGCTTCGTTCTTTCAAGCTCCAAAATACTTAGGGCCGGTCATTTTGTCCACTCATGCTTTGCGTGCCGCGTCCGACGCTCAACTGGGATGGGTAAAGAGCGCAAGGCCAATGTACCAGAATTCTCCTAGTAATGAAATAATAAGGTCAATTTTTATCCAAAAATGTTGCCTTGTTTCTGCCCACCAACATTGCTGCCGCAAAACCCCTCGATCAATTCCGATGCATTCTTTAATAAAACAATCTCCCATCAATTATTTATCCTTTTTGCTATTTTCTGACAGCTATATTACAATTCTTTCTGTTCATTGCCGGGACTGTGAGCCAGTTGACTAGTGGCCTCTGGATCGAATACCTTGGCTTCAAACCTCCGATGTGGTTTCTTTGGGGAAGCTTACTGTTGATCATTCTCTACACAATTGTCTTTGTCAAGGAAACCATACAACCAAAGAAAGATGTGAAGGTAGCTTTCTTTAGCATGGAGAGCCTTAGGCGAACCTGTAGCGTGTTTACCAAACGAAGACCAGGTGGAAGAAAGAATGTCATTCTACTAATAGTTTTTATCGCCATAAATATCCTGGCAACGGTTGGCACAAGCGCAGTGCAGTTGCTGTACCTTCTTCGTAGTCCACTATGTTGGATACCAAGTATTCTTGGATACTTTTTGGCCTATCGGTTCTTGACCCTTGGTCTTGGAAGTATCGCAGGAATAGTCATTCTAAAGAAGTGCTTCAGTGAGATGAATATAACAAGGGTTGGTTTTGTAACTCAAATTGCTGGTTTGTTGCTGTTGGCTTTTTCGGATAAGACTTGGATGGTGTTTTTAGGTGAGATCAAAATGTCTTGTATTTACGATTCGCATACGGCTCTCCATTTGTTGTGAATCACAGTGATGGAAATTAATGCTCAGCCAATTGAGCCCTGTCGCGGTATCTGTTTAAGTCGTTTGTCTTTCACAGTTATATATTATACAAATTTTCCCTATAAGACCCCTATAAGATGATATCAACTCTAGACTACTGCAGTTTCGAGCTCTCTGTTCCTCAGGGTTAGCCTCAAACTTGTGTAGAGTATTCATGTTCTAGTGAAGGTCCATAGAATTTCAAAGTGTTTGTATAGTCGAAGTTGTGCATTCTTTATTGTACCTTTAGTATTTGTTAAAGTTAAGACGCTGAAATGCATGGGACTTGGCCTGAGTAAGCGCGTCTGTGATCAAGAAATGCAGCGGTAATTTAGGACACCAAAAAGGCCTGTTATTAACTTCTGATTAATTCTTTTTCTTCTAGTTCCTGTGGTTGGCATTTTGGGATCAGTAATAGAACCTGTCTTTTCAAGCATTTTATCCAGGCTTGTGACTTCAGAAGAACAAGGTAAGTCGTACGATGTGTACCCTTATAGTTACCCATTTCTACCAATACAATAGGACCAAAACAACAAACTAGCCTATTATCACAGGTTGGCTTTTTTTACGGCCTGAGTGGGTATTAATTTTCTGAAGTAAAATCCAGGCATCTGAAGTTGTTTTGCTTGTTGATCCCCATTTCATGCATTTTGATAAGATATCTTTTTACTTTGGGCGTAATGTTTTCCCATTTCTGACCACGTGTCATTTCCTAGAGTATCATTTTTTTGTTTAACGGTTGTGCTTGAGAAGACACTTATGGATACCGCAGCTCAAACGAAGAATCTTATTCTTAAGTTTATTATATGACACGTGGTCTGAAACAATTTTGCCCAAAGTAAAGAGGTATGTTATGAAAAAATGGTGAAGTTGGAATCAAGCGCAATCACATGATATTTATCGCGATTTCCAGCAGAGCTCCACTGAGAAAAAATGGGAGTATTATTGTAGCGCAAGAGAATATGAACTAAGAGAAGGAATCCCCCCTATATAGCCTTGTAACCATCATGTGCACAGTTTGATGCTATTTTTAGCTTTGAGATATTTTGAGCGAAGAACCTGATTGGTTGATTTCTTGATGGTAGGCGGCTTCTAGTCTTGCTGTAAACAAAAGCCTGTGTTTTTGTCGCTTTTCGTGTCCTAAAACGAGGCATTAAAGGAAGCATGATTATCGCGCGGGCATGGTAACGAGTTAAAAATAGCATCAATGATTCTAAAAATAGCATCAAAGTGTGCACATGATGGGGCACGGGGATTCCTTCTCTTAGTTCATTTTCTCTTGTGTAGTGCTAATCTAAATCTTTAAACAAGGGCTTATATATCTATTTTACGTCGTGGTACGGGCAGTGTAGAGTTTAATCCATTCTTTTCTCTTCTCCACACGTACCCAGATATTTTTGAAAACGAATTTTTTTTCGTTTGCTGATTGGTCTTCCATCTTCACGTATCCGGGAAATACGCCACTTGAAAATTCAACTTACCAGAAACGCTTCCAAGAATATATTTTTTATAAGGCCGTTTTCATCTTATCGTGTAAATGGATAAAAAAACCGAACTTTTCGAAAACGCAGACGTCACTGTTTTGGATTACACTTTGTCATCAATCTGTGTCACGCTCTCGTATATTATATCCCGATCATTTAACGTACTCATCGTGTTCGTGTGAACAGGCGAAAACGATTCGAAAACGTTACGTGTGTAGGAAAAAATAATTGTAAAATGATAGATAAGTCCGTTTTCAAGAATCTCCGGATACCTGTGGATGGGGCCTCACACAATTCTAAACTTGCTTTATTTTAACATTGTGTTTCTCTTGTAATTTTTAAGGCGTTATGTTTGCTATCGTTGGGATTATTTCAGCTATTGGTGAGGTTGTTGGTACCGCAGCCTTCAACTCAATCTATCCACTGTCTCTTCGATTCAACTTTCCTGGCTTTGTATTTGTCTTTGCTGCTGGCATATCCTTTTGCCAAATATTCGCAACACGGTAAGCTGGTCATTTGGGAATCAAGGGTAGTGTTAGTCTCCCCCACAGCCGATTTCAGTGTCGTCACGCAACGCTTTCACCCCTGAGAAAGAAAGCGTTGTGGGGAGAAAGCGGCAGTGCAATCCCCTTTCACTTTTGGGGTCATGGGTTCAATTTATGAGCACTTTCTTGGTGTTGCAGTGCACCTGAGCCATTAAGACAATAAAACATGCAGTAGCCAAGAACGACGAGTTTGAAGCTAATCAATACCTTGTATTAAACCCTAACCCAGAAAACMGGACTTGAACCAGCGACCCGACACGTTGGACTCAAAGCGGTGAAAGGCGATGCATTAGCAGCGTACGCCACCCATGCTACCTAATTCGATATTCTTGGAAAACGTTCTGAAATTGATGCACTCGACAACCCTTTTCTATTGACACTTTTATTATCATATTCCAAATATTACTATATTTATACAATATTTTATCTTTTCTTATTAAGATGTGTTGATGTTCCACCGGAAATTCTCAATCTTGAAGAAGAGATTATTGAAGAAAACTCATTAACAGAAAATAAACCAGCCAGCGAAAAACCTACAAAGTATCCATACGAAAAAGATTGTACTACCACTTTGTGATCTGATATCGCAATTCATCACTTTCCATACAGTAGAGACCTTTAGATGCGACGACGAGTACGAGTACGAGAACGGGTACGAGTGTTTAACTTTTAAAGAGAGGCACTATCTTTTTGTAGTCGTGGTCGTGTACGTAGATTGAAACTTTACATTGTAAAAAATCGGGAATCGACTACGATTCAGTGTTAACCACGAGCACAAGACCAATTTTAAAACTCGTACTCGTACTGGATCTCGTACTCGTCGTCGGATCTAAAGGTCGCTAATATTGGTTCACTGGTCAAGCACAAAGCGCTCAAGCGACGCACCAAGGTACTTCCAAAGGATTATTCAAATTTGAACCTTGCAACCTCTACTGAATGCTTTGTGTTTGACAAGTGAACCGATGTATGGAAAATGGTGAATAGCAAGAGCAGTTAATTACGGTCATTTTTCCGGTATATTTCGCCGGGGTTTTGCCGCTGTCCTTACTGTCGTTCTACTTTAACCGTGAACACTCGAGTTTGTCAACCCATCAGATTACTAATCGAAAACAACAAGAACTTGTGTTACATCAGTGTATTTGGAAGTCTTTAAAAGCGATTCAAGGAGATGAAATGATGAAAGAGAAAGAAAAAGTATACACTTATTTCAATAAAGTTTGTCACCTGAAAAGCTATAAAGCTGAGGCCAACAAGGATTATGGGTAGATTCATTTTACACGTTCAACCGCTTGATAACTGTTCATGGACTTGCGAATCTTTTACCGGTTACAGTCTCACCTCTTCTGAGCATCATCGAGCTGAAGTTTGTATTAAAAAAGCTTTGTATATATATGCTTTTTTGATATGAAAAGTTTCCCATGATGCTCAGTGATCTCAGCTTTCTAGGTTTTTGGTGACTAACTTTATTGAAAAGTGTATTCATACAAAAATGACAAATGAATTCAAATTGTAGTTAGAGTAAAACAACAGTAATATAACTGCCAGGTGTCTGTAATATCGGAGTAACCACAAGGAGAGTTGAGTGTATCTTCAATGACAGCCAATTGCACGTTTGCATAAGGTAAAGGTAAAGGTAATTTGTTTTACTTCGATATAACGCGGGGAGTGGTTGCCCAATTCTCCCGAACCAAGGGCTCATGTTAAATGCGCTCGAAGGTGCGCCCTCTACCCCCTCTTACTATCAGTGCTCCTTTTTACGGGTATTTAAAGCTAATTAAAGCTACACAGAACAGAGAGAAGTCGAAACAGACGTGGAGTTCCTGAGTATCGAACTATGGACCTCTAGCTCTGAAGGCCGCGCACAAAGCTGAGCTACGCCTGCTCCTATAAATGATGGCGTCATTGACCTCTACTACCAGACTCAAAGAATTATGGCAGTGGGAGTCAAATGACGCCATCTTGCAAACGTCCTATTATTTTACATAAAAGTGTGAAGAATATATTGGAACTTTTTATATCATATTCTTACTCAAGAAAGTAAATGTTTCATGGTCAGAAATTATGAAGTTAAAAAAATGTAAAAAATTGGAAACATTGTAAAAAAATGTCCAAACTTGTTTATGTAATATTCGTACTCAAGAAAGTAGTTTTAACGCCAGTAAGTGAAATAGTGTAGCGTTGTACGCCTTGACATTGTTTCATATTGCTTGTTATCAAATTATTAATAACTGTGTGTAATGAGGAAAACGCAATAAAAATAAATCAACCAGGAGAGTTCTGTAAATTTCTTCCAGAATCGTCCTCATTCGCACTCAACAAACGAACATTTGTTACGAGGGTTTTTATCGAGGAACTCTTCAGTTTTCCTTCCTCCGTAAAAATCAAATTTGAATAGACTCTTTGCCAAAATGCCGGCTGCAATTCAAATAAGTTAAAATTAAACCGAGTCAAGAACCTATGCCAGGCTAGAAAGAGCACCTTTACTTTAGCAACTGTACAAAGCATTATTTTTGTCAGGTGTCTTTTGAAATGTTAGGTGATGTATATTGATGCAGGAGTGTTGATGTGTTGGCAGAACTAATGGCTCAATGCTCAGGACCTATTGTTTAGATGACAAGGTCCTTCTCCACCTCAGTGGCTTAAGATTTTTAAAGTCAGTGAACGATACTAATTCCTAATCAAAGTAGATTAATAAAAACATTTTAGCAAGAAATAAACAACTATTATTGATTTTGAAAATATTTTTAAAAGAAAAATTAGAGGGAAAAGTATAGAGGTTTTGCACCATCACGTGCCCACGCCCATAATCCAGAGCTGCCTGTGGTTGGATGGCAGAACAATAAATTCCCTTTGCTCTTGGGAATTGAATTCTTTCTTATGTAAAACGACTGTATTGTTCCTGCCATCTAACATGGCTGCCAATGAGGTCGTCAAAGCGTCCAATAAATTTGTCGCTGATTTTTCTTTTAAAACTATAATTGAGCACGTGTAAGCATAGTACTTTTAGGACTCGTTCAGCGATCCAATCTCATACCCAGAGCCTGCGTTTCTTCTGGCCTGCTGCGAAAAACGAGGGTTCTGGCATAATCCACTTTTTGAGACCAGGATTTCTTGAAATTCCGGTATGAGAGCGCATGCGCTCAAAGACTTGCCAAAGAAAGAAAATATGTTTCCTATTTCTAATTTTTACTTTTTTTTCATGATTTTTTCCTTTGATTTTGATTTTGATTTGATTTTTACATTGATTACTTGTATTGGTTATATTTCACTTCCCGAAAATTACGCATGCGCCAAAATGTGAATTATGCCTGAGCCCTCGTTCTTCGCCGCAAGCCAGAAGAAACGCAGGCTCTGGGTACGAGACTGTCGGCGATCAATCCGCTCTCTCCGACATGTAATAGTTCTGTGCATGCCATTTGTCGTACATATTCTATTCTACCTAGTAAGGAAAAGGTAAGGCTATTACGGTAGCTACTACAGCTAGCACCTGGAGTGAGCAGTTGAGGGCACGACGAAAGAATTTTGATCATTCAAAGAAAAAAATTTCGAACATTTGTAATTGAATTTATTCAATAAATCTAAATTAGATATACGTCAAAATATTCTCAATTCGATAATACGCGCTAAAGTCACGATCATGCGCCGATTAAGCTACGATCATGTATCGATCAACTCACGATCATGTTCGATCAAGTCTCATTCAAATCACGATCATGTGTAGATCAAGTAACTACTTGGTATCTATCGTTCGCCGAACAACTCACAATTGTGCTCATTAACTCACGATCAATTTCCGATTAAATCACGATCATGTGTCAATCAAGTCACGATCATGTACCGACCAATGCACGATCATAGATCAATCAACTTATATATGCACAGAACAATAAAAACGTGGTAAAACTAGAACATATATTTGTAAGTAAAAAAATTGGTTGCTACAAATGATTCGTTGTCATCTGATCTAAAATTTTACACTGTGTCGTCCTGCATTTCCAATGAAATCCTAGTTATTAACGAGGGATTCGAGGGGCAAACACTCTACCTTCCCCAGATATTCCCGACTAGCGTCTTTAATTATTTTTCAAAATTCGTTTTATCCAAGGCAGAAAGTACTTGATATTGGTGTACAAGCCAGGTTGCCCAGGCCTAGCGCATCCAACCCCCCAACTCACAGCCCCGGCTAAAACGAACCGTGACTTATTTTTGGGGTCTGGGCAGACAAATGGACCACCGCTGTCCCCTTTGCAGGAGTCAATTTGGCCTCCCTCGTACCCGGCACATATCATACGGTTGGTAACTAGCCGTGTTGGGTACTGGTTCTTGCAGTAGTTCAGAACCTTGACTGGTACTTTGGCTTGACGCAGCGTGTTAGAGAGACTTGCACCTTCACCTGGTGGGTAGAAAAACTACGTTAGAAGGACGGGGGAAATGGGGGAGGGGGGGGKGGGGGTGGGGGAGATCGTGGCTAGGGGGCTTCGAAGGCCCCCCAAATTTTTAAAACAGTGCAGTTTTATTTTGTCCTAGTTTGACTTCCGTATGAAAAGAGAAGACGCCCCCACCCCCCGCGATTTTAAAATGTGCTCCATCGTCTCTACATTAAGATGACTGCCTAATATTGAGCGTTATATATTTTTTTAGTCAAATTTAGGTTTTCAACTTTCAGGTTTAGAACCAATTATGGCTCATTGTCCTCTAGTTTATTGCTTTCATTGTCCAACGCAGGGAGCCCGGCTGCTAATTTGCATAAACGTCGAAAATCAATGTTTTACGAGTGAAAACCCTTTTGGATCATTGAGTTTGTTGTTTTATATAATATGTTTCTAGTGAAAGTAATAAATGAGCACTTGAAATTTTGAAAATGTACCAAAACGATGCAAAACTCTCTATTTTTGATCTTTCATAGCTTCTTTGGTATTCAGTCAAATTTAACAAAAAAATTTGGAATAGTTTTAATGAAGTACTTTCTCAAATAGCATTTAATAGTTTCTGGCAAAAAGACCTAATTTTCTCTATCAAAAAAACCAAAAAAAAACCAAAGCAAAAACAAACAAACAAACAAACAAAAAAAAAACAACCAAACAAACAAACAAAACAACAACAAATTATTCATTTTGTGTACGTTATAAATGGACACAAATCTCGAGCTTGGGTTCCCTGTGCCGCCATCAAATCTTACCCAATTTTCCAAATCCAGTGACGGAACAGTTCTGTCCGATGGGTATAACATAGCTAGTGGTTGGCATGCAGATAGGTCTGATGTACTGGTTGAAGTTCATGACTGGGCGCGCGAGACGGAGCAACGCGATGTCATAGTCAAGAGTCCTGTGGTCATAGTTGGGATGCATACACATCTGAGCTACGTCTGCAGGGACAAAACATTATTAGAGACCTTTAGCATCAGGTTTACCGCTAACCGCTAGAGAACGGGCTCAGAAACACGGCAGCAAACACGGAAAAGCACTCTGCAACAATGAAACTCAATATGGCGGCTCTTTTCGTATCAACAACTTCGTTATAATGCCTTGCTAAGTGCCAAACGTTTGACGGAAAACACCTGACGTCGAAAAGCAGTTTTAGTTTTGCGGTAAAGATTTGTCTATAAACTGTACTGAGTGTGACAATCAAGGGTGGTGTAGTGGTTGTGCGCTCGCCTTTCACCTCTAGGGTCTCTGGTTTGATTCCCAGACTCGGCATCACATGCGAGTAGAATTTTGTAGGTCTATTGCTTGATTAAAGGGTTTATTTCCTGGTTCTCCGATTTGATTTTCCTGCAACCGCAAATCCTAACAACCTTAATCTCAATTGGATACGTGAGTTAGTTAGCCAGCCCGCACTTTGATTAGTCCAGAGGTTGTTTCAGGGTTCGATCTGTGGGTTATTAAACTGTACCCTGGCTTTGATCAGCCCAGAGGTTGTTTCAGGGTTCAATCTGTGAGTTAGCCGTGCCCTGACTTTGATCAGCTCAGAGGTTATTTCAGGTATTAATGAAATTTATAAACTAAAAATAGCAATCAATCATCAGTAATGATCTTTCATCTTCCATTAAAAGACAGTGCTCTTCACGTCTAACATATTCTATGCTTACCAATATCGACCTCATGGCCATCGCGATTATTCACATCAAACTCTCCCAATACAACACGGAGTCGAGGATCAGGCTTCACACATCCGGTACGGCTAGGATCGAGCCCGTAAATACAATGGGCAGCGGTCAATACCCATTCTCTATCAATGAGTGAGCCTCCACAATAAATCCTCTTTTCACTTCCTCGCTTAAGACCTGTTTGCCAAGGCCAGTCACGTGTGTTAGCAACAGAACCGCCCACAATTCGTCCGACATTTCTACGAACACCGCACGCAAAGGCCGGGAGAGATGTCTTTGCTGTGGACAAGAAATGACTTATTGATTTATTTCTTACGTAAAACGATGGTATTGTTCCAGCCAACTAACATGGCTGCAGTCAAGTGAAGGCTTAAAACCTCTATAAAGCCAAAAAYGTTCTCAATTATTTAACCTCCTGAAATAAATAAAACTTTGGACAAAACATCCTTTCATGAAAAAAATGTAGAAAAAATATTTACTGAACTACTTCGTTTTGGATCCGGTAGTAGTTTTTCCACATACGAATAACGTCACAGTTAAAAGCTTTATATGGTATTTGATGTTAATGATCTAGTGAACTGTTAGAAATCTCGCGGTTTGATTGACTACGTTACCAATAGACTAACATTCGTAGAAAGGGAGTTCCCAAGTATTCTCACCTGTACATCTCTGTGTGTTACACGCGACGCGTTCAGAGTAGAACCCATCACACGGCTGACCTCCATAAGAAGGGAAAGGGTTATCACACTCGCGGTATCTTGACTTGAAGCCTCCGTTACATGATCTTGAACACTGGGTCCATGTCCCCCAGTTGCTCCATTTACCATCAATTGCTATTTTAAGGAATGACATAGTCAGCATTGGATTCAAAGGTTTCAAAGTTAGTACTGGTTATCTTTAGGTCCGGAATTATAGGAATCAAAAGCGTAGTTGGCGACACGAGTGAAAAACGTCTGCGCATGCTCTGAATCCGTATGCAAATTAGTAAAACATAAGTAAATTTGACTTTCAAACATGCCTGATAAATTGGACTTCACAAAATGCCAAAACTTAGTGTCCATGCTTGAAAATTAAGGCTAAGTCTTTCATATTGTGTTATTCAATATAGTATCGTGGTCTGACAAAAGTATACTCTCGAACTTTTTTGTATACTTGGAGAAAACAAACATTTATTTTCTCACTCAAACTCTTCCAAATTCTTAGAAAACGTGCTGAAATGCACACATGCACAAACGTTTTTCTCTAGTGTCGTAGTTGGCTCTAGTGTGTATTGAACAATGGAATCGGAATAAGAATTTGAATGACAACGGAATCTGAATTGAATCGCACGGATCAAAAGGTTTCCTTTTCCTTTCTATAGACCTAATTCGTTTTGGTGCAACGTTCACTCATGTCAGACCATGTGTCATTCTCTTGAGAATAAGATTATAGTGTTTGAGTTGTAGCCATATTCAAGTGTCTTCTCGTGCGCAACTACCAAACAAAGAAACGATACTGTAGAAAAAGACACGTGGTGTGTAATAGGGTACCAAGACGAATTAAGTTTATTCCATCGCTTCTGGTCTTGTGTGGAGAAGAGAATCGAGGCTAGAAGCGTAGAAAAAAAAATCCAATGGTAGAACTCATTCCCAGTCTCATTGGAGCAAAATAAAATATGCATCAAAGCGAGGTTTGCGTTTTTATTCCGTTCTGAACTGAACCAGCCTCTCATACATGTGAACAAGAGGATAGTTATTAACCGTTTTTGAAATTGGTCGCCATGTTTCGATTAGGTGAATAGGCATCGTGTCACTTGTTTACTTTTTAACAAAATTTACGATTTACGTTTTTTGCATGTTACATAATTTATTCATTTATAATTTTATTCGTCAATATGGTTATTTATTAAGAGCTGTTTTAAAAAACGTTGTTGTTGATTTAAGTCGAAAAAAAGGAAAAGAAAGAAAGAAAAAAACAAAAACAAAAACAAAAAACAAAAAAAAAGGAACAAAAACAATGAAACTTTTGAGCAAGGAAACAAAACCAAAACAAAACAATAAAGACACGCGAAACTGAAACATGAAAGGACGAATAAGACAGCATACAAATATAAATGAATACACACACACACACAAACGCCTACTGATCAAAACAAAAACAATATAATTTTGTAGCAATAAGACAAAAACAAAACAAAATGCAATGCATTGTGTTGTACAACAAATTAAATCAAACTAAGTCAAAACCATATATAAATATATATGTATGCTCACCATCGCTTCCACTACCACTATCTTCGAATTCCCATTCACGAGACTCATTATCACTCGAGTTCACGATCGTCCTGGAGTTCTAAAATGTAGCATCTGGATTTARTAACTGAATCAAGAACTTAAGTTTAAACATGTGTCATTACTTCACGTCGTTGAGATAATAATATTTAACCCTACGACAATGGAGGCCGCAATGACTCTCCAAATGACTTTAGGACCATAAGAATACCAAAAATTAGAGGTCAAATAGCATATGCATCATTTGAACATTGCAAATTGTTGGATGTAGTTCATGATATCAAAAGTTTATTAATTTTTATGGGTATAAAAAGTCCAATCTCCACTTTTGAAAATAAAATTAAATAAATAAATATAATGAATAAATTAATTAATCTATAGCTTCCGCGACAAAAGTCTAATGACGTGAGAATCCATGCAATTTTAATCGTAAATATGAAAACTGACCCCACCCCACAGGGGATGAAATTTACTTGCTAATGAAGGCTTCTTAGGTTGTGACGACATAGAAAATGGACCGTTTTAAAAATATAACCAAGAAAACAAACAGTACAGTTTTGAATCTATAATACTCAGTATTTTAGGTAGTTTTTTTAAAAGCGCACATAAGCATGACATTCAGACTTTCTTACCGAGCTATTCAAAAAGAAATAGGACTATTAAGACGTGATTAAAACATTTTGAGAATCTGAAAATTGGAAAAAAAAGCCAGTAAAATGCGTTTCTAGGATCAGAAACATTTTTCAGTCAGAAAACGTCGTTGTCAAACAGATTAACAATGCAGTCAAGTACATCACCTTTGGAATACAGTACATGCAACGAACACATGCCAGAACTATTGCCAAATGTACAGCTTTCATCTTCCAAGATTCCTTTGAACTTAAGCTTTCTTTTCTTAACAGAACAACGATTTTTTTAAATCAATCTTCGCCGTACGCGGAGCGGTTATTGGGAAATGTAATACTTTTMAAGAAAGTGTTGGATTGTGTTTCTTGTGGCAGTACCAGTAGCTCTCACCAGGAAGACTGCAGGAAATCAATATGGAGATCAGAAGTTCAACGCTGTATAGATTTTCACCCGAAGTAATGAATATACCAAGCTATGATTCTGTTTGCAATTACTAAAAAGAATCATCAAAAACTATCCCAGTCAAATTGGTGACATAAGTATTAGTTTAATGGCCATTAGAAGACCTCGTTTTTTATTTTGCTATTTTGTTTCATTTGACTTTTTGMCTTTGTTATCCTTTTAGACTGAGGATTAATTGAAACCAAACGAA